AGGTTTTGTGGTGAGGGCGGGGTCCGGGGATCTACTTAACTCCGCGTGATTGATCGTTTATTATAATTTTATTCTCCTGCTTCAGGTATCACCGGGTCAGGCGGGATCTACACTCACACTCACATTTTACACTCTGCACTTGCTTGGTCACATACTCCCAGTCAATTGTCTCGTGTCAGCGGCGGGGCGACGGGGCTTACCTGGGGGTGGCCCCAACCCCTGCCCCTGGGAACTGATTTCCTTGTCTCCCGGGGGGGGAGCTAGGTTGCCACCGGTACCGTTAATACTTCCCAGGGTTGCCCGGGGCTAAAAAGCCTTCTGGGCTACCCTTGGGGCCACTCCTCAGCTCGAGGGCCCTTCCGGGCCTCTCGGGCCAGGGGGGTGGGCGTCCCGGGCACGACCACGCGGGCTTCAGGGCCTCGCTGAGCGACTCCCGTACGCGTGAGCTCCCGATCGCTGCCCAACGTCGACTCTCTCCCACGACTCCGCTACCGGCGATATCCTGTGTCTCCCCCCTCTTTGCGAGTTGCTCAGAAGCGGAGAAGGGTCTGCGCGGCTTGCACCCGGGAGACTTTCCACCTGGTACTTTTCTTTGCCGGGTACCCTCGCGACGATGGGTTTCATATCGCCACGAGGCATCCCATTTTCGGTGGTCCATCCCCTCGACAGTTGGGGGTGCGGGTCATCACTACGACTTAGCCGCGTGTCTCCTCCTCCACAGATCCGTGCCTGGTCTGCCGTTTATCTCGCCTCTCGCGAGCCGGGCCCTCTCCGGGCGGGTGATTTCGCGGGGCACGTATTCGGCAGATAACCCCTGGCAGCTCCACGATATCCTCCGGTATTTTTTTTCCTCTCTTTCTCTCTATCCTCTTCTGCAATAACTCCTTCCCTATTTATTTTGACCTAATTCTTCACACACTCACCCATTCCTCCGTTCCCGCCTGCCCGTATTTTATTTTACAATTACATTTTATTATTCTCGCCTGCTTTTCTCTTTTATTTATTCGTACAGGTGATCAACATTCATGGGGTTCATCACAAGTTAATGAGGCCCCGTCCCCTGCTCTTACTAATGAACATCAGGAGCATCACGAGCTCGATGAGCCCAGGTTGCCAAGCCCTCCTCTGAATGGCTGCTATTGCCATTAGAGATCATAAATCGTCGGTATCTAAATATCTGAAAGAGAACGCTTCAGCTGGTTACATGGTGAGCTGATTAATGACGTGAAGCTGAACTTTCTTCTTGATGATCTGGCTGAGCAGGTCCAAGCGGTGAAGTATGCGAAGAGATCTTCTTTGAAGTAGAGAAAAGATGTAACCCCCTCTATCTGCCCGCTCCTGGTTACGCGTTTATCGTGCATAGCTTCAAGTTCAGGAAAATACATCTCTCTGGTCTTCATTGTGGGCTCCAAGCTGGCCTGCCCGAACTCATTTTTTCTTCGGAGATGAGCTCATCATGAGTACATTCGTACAATGAAAATCTCGACATCTTCAGAGCGATCGTAATCTCAAAAGATGTATTATTGGTTGGAGGGGATAATAAAAAAAACAACAGAATACGCCAAATGAAAACACCAAGGCACGACGCTGTGAAACTAACCGAAAATGCATGATAACAAGAGATTAGCTGACTATAAGCAACCCAATGACGAACGCGAAGAAGTGCGCAAGCAAACAAATCCAAAAACCCGATGACATTTCAAAATCAAAATAAAAAAAGAACTGACAAAAATCCGATGGACTTAGGGGATTGATGTGAGCAGCAGCAAGTACGAGCACAGCAGTGTGCTACTATTGACGAAGAAAAATTACTCTTTAATTTTTTCCATGTGTCGACACGACAGATTCATGAAACGGTGTGACCCCAATTAATTAAGCACCAGTGGAGAACCACCCGAAAGGTAGTCCCACATTTCCTTCTATGTTAATTCATTCCAGAAACTACTGTGTTGATTTCATCTTCTGCATCCTGCAAAAGAAACTGTTTGCCGTTATTTCTGCCTGAGGAGCAGGAGCAAATGGAATACTTTCTGAAATTGGCAACATTTTTTTACCCAAGTACCGCAAATACTCACCTTCCGGCCGCTCGTCAGGGAGCAAAGTGCGAACTTTCGTCTGTTGGCATTTTGAAAAATAGCAGGGCGGGAAAAATGACTTTTCGTCCTTGATGCACAATAAACTATTTTTAATCAAATAGAAAAAATAGAAATAAAATCCACTCATTCTTGGGTTGGCGAGAATAACGACAGCAGAAGTTTACGACTGAAGTTTAAAATAAGATTCAAAAAATCGAAAATGGCCAACTTCAAAACAAGATGGTCTTTTCTTGTGAAAGATTAGAATTTCATCGAATTTAGCATCTGACATTTACGTCAGAAAACTTATTCCAAAATGGAAAATCCCGAAAAAAAGGACCTAAAAAGTTTTGGACAATTTACGAGTATTTCGATATGAAGAAGCCATTTTTTTGAAAAAATCCCGTCTTGATGATAAAAATGTTTGCCGTATGAAGGACGGCGGTGCTCCATATATAGGCAACAAAAGTGAATAGAAGAAATGGCTACGAGCCGGATAGCTCAGTTGGGAGAGCACCCGATGCATAATCGGAAGGTCCCGGGTTCAAGTCCCGGTGTGGACTATCCATTTTTACAGTAATTTTTCTCGCAAAAATTTGTAAGAGTATTTTTCCCGGGTCAACACTTCGGGATAATCCTCAAACTATTCTGGCTGCCGCCTCTATCGTTCACGATTGGGCGCCAGCCAGGTTTTTCTGGAAAACCTGACGGAAAACCAGCCGCGAAGGAATTTCGTCAACTCCGCGGACTTTCGGTGGCGGGTCTCACAATGCCGAGCCAGCATCAGCATGACACGGTAGAGTGGGCGAGGTTCACCAACGTACAAGTAACTTCAATCACTACCTTCTGCCGTGCTCACGGCATCGTCAACGATATCTCTCGGGGAACGTATCCCTCAGACTCTCGTGGAGGGATATGACCATCCCTCTCACGTGGTACTTTCTCCTCTGGGGTGGCTCAACCCCAGACAAGACACAGATTACCTGCGAATCCTTCTCACCCCGCAGGGCGCCGAACTGCTCGAGGCACATGCGACGTAGGTATCCGGAGACCTTTCTCACCCACCTAACGTCCACCCCAACTCGAGAGCTCGGTAATAGCAATCTCATCGCGAGTCAAAACTAGAGTTACTTCCCATGGAGGCGCGTGTGACCGGACCGACGGGAAACACCTTGAATCCCAGCCCTTAGTCCACCCCAACACCATGGATTTCGCCCTAGAGATGGATCTCTGTAGCCGCGGACTCTCGTCCGTAGCCTCAAAGTAATCCATTTCACTGATCGGGGACACATAAGTGTCCCCTTCTCTCGCTATTCCAAGATTCCTTGGAACCACGTACCCTTCATAATCCCGGCAGGGATTATTGCCACCAACTGATCCCGAGCTCCTAAAACATCCGCTCGAGACCAGCACTCAACGCGAACTGTCCTGAAATCTACCAGGGGCCGGATTTTTACGGCACCTCGTCGGCCTATTCGGTACTTTAAAAAAGTACCAGGAGAGGGCTATGGTTATCAAAAAATTAATGATACAATTCCCCCTATAACATCGTGTAACATAATACTGATATTAAGGAGTACGGTTAAATTTAAAAATTCATCCAGGTACAGAGTGCTTCAGTATCTTATTTTTTAATTTGGGTAGAAAAATTTATTTTTTATATATAGAAGTGCTATGAATATTCTGGGAATAGTGGGAGCTGCCGCCGTCTTACTCGACGAGGAAGACTGTGATGAACAGAAACGCATAAGAATTGCAAATAGACGACGAAATATGATGATTCGACATTTACCAACACCATTTGAAACCCTGAATCAACGACAATTCCTCAAAAAGTTCAGGTAATATGAATCCCCATTTTGTACAATGATTTTTCCCTGGCAATATCCACAAGATCAAGGAATAATCATGTCTTCTACCCAGATTACCAAAAGGACTCGTTGGATGGTTGTGCGATGAAATTTCACCGCATATCCCCGATGAAGGAAGCTCTTCTCAAATCCCAAAGAAAATCCAAGTAAGTATGAGAAATAGAAGCCATCAATCGACGATATCGTAAATATGCCGAGTGTACGGAGCAATAAGCCAAGCTTTTCACCAGAAGCCTGAATGTTTATACGAAGAAACTGTCCATCCTAGTTTTACTAAAGTCGTTTTTCATGCGCAATAATTCCGTCCTCGTCGCAAAATGATTAAAATGCATTCCCATCTTTCCACGACTCTCCTGTTAAGTTGAGTCGAATTTTTTTTTCAGATCTTAAGTACCCTAAGATTTTATGCAACAGGAGAATTCCAGGAGAATATTGCCGACGCGTCCTATGCCAGTACCTGTCAAAGTGCAATGAGTACAATAATTAATAATGTAACTCTTGCAATACTCACACTGCAGGATGATTGGGTGAAATTCTCAGTTGATCCTCAGGAATTAAATAGGATCTCTGAAGCGTAAGAATAATCATATCTATATTTATGAATAAATATCGTCATCGTGCTGCGAAAAGATCGTGACAGCCATGCAACGCATATAAGAGTAAATTCAGCCTTATAAACTTCGCGTTCGTTACAGTTTCCAAGAGCACATTGGCTTCCCTGGAGTAATTGGCGCCATCGATTGTACACATGTTGCGATGCGAGCACCTATTGAAGAGAAATGGGTTTTTCTGAATTACAATCGATACTATTCGATTAACGTCCAAGTTACTTGTGACGACAAATATCGAATAACATCGATTGATATTTATCCCGGAATTACTCATGATGCCCGAATTTGGACACAGTCAGAAATCAAGAGGACTATTGACCAGCGTAATGGTAGAGGCCCGGGACATTATTTCTTAATCGGTAGTTATGACAACTGGTTATGTATATCTCTCTTTATTTCTTTTAAATTTCAGTAAAAAAATACAATTGTAATTTGTAATGTCCTTATTTATAATAATTTTCATTTTGGAGATCTTCAAAGTCCAAGTCTTCCACATAATATTGGTAGTCTACACTGTGAACAGAAAAAAAAGTATGTTTCAGTCGATTCAGGCTATCCATTGCAGCCGTCACTTCTCACACCTATAGCAGATGCTCAACCAAACACGCCTGAAGAAGCGTATAATAATGCATTCACTCATACTCGATCGACTATAGAAAGAGTGTTTGGTATGCTGAAGGGCAAATGGAAATGCATTTAAAAACATCGCACATTATTTTATCAACCAGAAAAATGTGTTCAATTTTTCAAAGCGTGTGCAATAATGCACAACTTGCTGATAGCATATCGGTAGGAACAAAACATAACATACGAGAAATGAGTGAGGAATAGTTAATTATATATGTAACATATGTTATGAAAAAAAATGACGAAGCAGAAGATGATAACGAAGAAGAAAGTGACGGAGAGGATGGTGGCCTAATTGACGATGCCAATGCTGATTACCCAGAAGACGACCAGGAGATTGGCAATAACAGGAGGAATCAGTTAAGAAGAGGGCAGGAAATACGCGCAAATATTGTCCAACAATATTTTGTTCCCCATTAGTTTCAAGCATTTTTGTCAGTGCTTTATCACTGTAAAATATTTTTTTTTCAATAAATACATATTTATTAGTTATACCCAGGATCATCGTTGTCATTATAGTCAGTTTCCATGCCTGCATGCACGTGTTCATCCACTTTTTCAATGTCAGGAGATTGATTATCAGACGAATTGGTTACAAAATCATCCTCCAATTTATCAAGTGAAAGTCTTGTTTCAGATCTACCGTAGAAATTCAGAAAAGATTAGAAGAAGATATTACACAACGACCTCACAACAACTCACCTTTCTTTCTCTCTTTCATTCTCCTTATTCCTCATCTAAAATATGTGGATAAAATTATAGAATTAAGTAATCAATACTACAGTGATGAAATTAAGTAAGTTAATTTACTTGGTAAGTAAATAATTGATAAATAAATGGATTTAATGTACGAATATCTTCAGTAGAATTTAAATGGAATTGTTTGAGAACAGAATAATAAATCTTGAGAAAGAATCAAGAGATCATCTCCATACCACATTCAGATATTGCGCGTTATAATGAGGTCCGATGATTTTCTTATCGTCAGCTGTAGCATTTGTTCTATTATATTTTAGTTTAAGCTCCATTCTTTTAAGTTTATTTTGTTCCTAAAAAATGGAAATTATGTCCCAATTAAAGGGTTAAGAAATGAAGACAACTGATACCCATAAATTCCTTAATTACCCGTAATTCGTTTCGAATTCCAATGAAGACGTGAATGGCTTCAGACATCAATCTATTGGATTCCTGGGTAAGTCAACAAAAAAAAAATATATCAGATAATAAAGGTATTTTTATGAATCTTCAATAGAAGTATTTAAACAGGACTGACTTTCAAGTGTTGGTTGCTTTCAGCTGTCGTTGTAGTAAGTTTTTCGAAATTTTGTTGACGAAATGCGTCTTTTGTCATGAGGGTATTATCCAGGCCTAAAAAAAATGAAAGAATGTGTATGTGAATAAGATTCCCCCTAGTAGAAGAATTCTTGCTTACGTTTTTGCTTAGGAGTACTCAGAATCACGTGGCTGTTTTCCTGTTTTTTTAGCCCTGCTTGACCATTTGATAATGACAAGCCACTACTGGTACCAATGACTGACAAAACCTTAGCAGATAACTCTGACAAAGGGCTGGTTCTAGTTACATTTCCCGTCTTATTGAGGGCTTTTACGCGATCGGCTTGTTCAGCTAGGGCTTTTTTTTTCAACCTGGACCATGCCTGCAATGATTCAATTATGAAATTCATAATTATAAATTACAAAAATGAATTTCATGAGTGAAACATAAAAATATACATTATTACATTGATTACTTGTGTGACGGTTCTTTGGATACCACAGTTACTCACGTCTCGTGTCAGCCTGTAACAAATCAATAATTATCAAAATAACTTGCATGCAAATCATCAATTTTTCGATTCCTAATAATTCATTATCTTACAGCACCCACAGCTTTCCTGATAATTTCACTGCTTGAGGTCCAATATTACCATTTCGAGCGAACTCTTTGTGGTTAATCATAAAATCAACTATCGCATTTAGCTCCACTGCAGTGAAGAATTGTGTTTTTGTTTTCCTGCAATTCAATTCGATGATTGATTCGTGCTTCTTCTTCATTATGGAATCTTATAACGGTGTGATTGGAGATGATAATGTCAAGAATATTTCCCAACCCCATTTTCAAAAATTTAAATTGATATTTTTGGTAATTTTTGAATTATGAACCTTAACTTCAATGTTCAATGGTTATATAGAATACTTACAATTTTTCAGCTTGCTTGACGGTTTCATCTGTGATTTTCGTGAGTTCTTCTTCGTTCAATTTATATAATAAATTCCTGCATGGAAATAAACAATCAACATTCAATAAAACATAACCAAAAGCATCGATAGTGGTAATTCGATAGAATACTCGAAAAATAGACTCCAGTAATAATAATGGATTGGTAGATTTTGTAAATGAAAGTATCATGGATGGTTTATGAACATACAATGGACTTTCCCCAGTTAGTTTAGAATAATTCATCATAAAAAAGTTCCATAGAATTGGTTCGCTTTTCTGTTGATTTATGCACTGGCGGACATCACACTGGTGTTGTTAATCAAAAATATTTTGCTGCTGAGCTTAGCAATTCTGTTTCAACTGTTTCATTATTCAAGGAAGTGAAATTTTAGAAAGACTTTAAAATATCCATAAAAAGTCTTTGACATCGTCAAACCTAGGTTTAGTCTGGTGTATTAGTGAAGAAAATTGCGTGAATGCGGAAATACAATATCACAAGGAAATTTAGTTTGAGACTTTAAAATTCCTTTTCCAGAACATTCATGGGTAATTTAATGAGATGATTTTAACGGAATTCCTCAGAAAAATGAATGAATATATAATCCACACTTTTATACATGCAATAATAACTCTGAAGTAGTACATTGATAACGCATAAAGGATAAAAATGAAAAAAAAGACAATATATACAGTGTTCGTATGCAAAGAAGAGTGCATTATGTTAAAAAAAACTGTTAATAAATGATGAAAAATGAACATATGCATGAAATGTCAAAAAAAAAATAGAAATGTTACATTTAGAGAGAACTTCGACAATTTGCCTTTCATTCAGTTCATAAATGTATTAAAGGCTTTATTAATGGAGGTGTCCAATATCCCTCCACACAGTGCTTTCAAGTCCTATGTCCCTCCAGGATGAGCCGACTGCGAAAAATTGCCATCTACGGAGTAACGAAAAACGAAAATGTGTTACCGAAGTCTACATAACTGCCATTTATTAACAAGTCTACTGTGACACAAGGAAAAATTATCGATTACTTTGATATTAATCAGCAGTGTCTAAAATTCAATTGGTATTTGCTAATTCAAGATTCTGTAAAGGATTTTCATACTATCTAATCTGCACATAGAATCAGTTATTTTTTGAAATTCTTGGTAGGAACAAATCCAAAAATAAAAATTTATTCGTTGGTTATTGAACGCACAGGAATCGGTTGCCATTTATACACCGAAATAAGCGGAGAATTTAATCAATTGAAGCATAGTCACCTTGTTGAAAATTAAGACGATCGTTGAGGTCGAGGAAACTGCAAATATGTTCGATGCAGTCGGTAGATAGGAATAAGATTGATGCCTTAAACTGCTCCATGTCGTTTTAACCTCCGATAAAATAAATTTTAAAAGAATGATTAACGATAAAATTTTGATATTATTCAATAATTGAACATTTTCATACCTTGCTTAGTTCACAATCTTAATAATTACAATTTCTATTTTTGAAAGTAGATAAGATAATGTTGTGTTATCCTTAATATTTATAACAATATACGTTATATATTATATATATAAATTATAAGCGTAAAGGCTATGCGAAGTTAGTCGGTTAATGCCATTGAAAACGTAGGTATAATGGGAGCGTAGTACGATGGTGATTTCGTGCTGTGCAGCCCTCTTCTGGTGAAAATTTTAAGTACTTTTCCGTGCCCTAAAGATCCGGCCCCAGGGCCTTCTCCCCCTAGTCTGAGCATCTCAGCGACTGTGGGTCATCCGTTACCCCACAGCCACCAATCAACTCGACGGGATCCCGGGGGCGCTAGTCCTTTCACCTAGCCGTTGGTCCCTGGTCTAAGTCGGCGCCCTTCGGAACCACCCAGTTGGAACGCCTGTACGTCAGCCCTGGACTCCCTAACACAGCTGGGTGGATTTCCGAATTGGGAAACAGCAATCGTCAGTGTCATCATAGTGTTCGGAAACATGGTCTCACCCTACCACGTTTCTTCCCACTATGTGATCGGTCTAACTCACCTTCGGAGCGGCCTGATTGGCCGTCGTCCGATGTCATACTCATCTTTCGCTCAGCTCTTTCAGCCGGCGTTAGATGTCGTTTCCCTTCACCTAGTTATTTTACTAGTGATATTCTCTAGTAACGAGAAAATCTCGTTACAAATTATATGGAGAATTATCCTGTTCCCCTTCCTACCTCATCCAAAATCCTATCCAACGATAATCTTTGGCCATATCGTTCAAAAGTGGTGGATTTGGGATGGAATATGACGTATATATGTACATGTCAGCAAATCCTCAGCAGACACTATGGGCAGAATCACCAATTATGCAAAGATCACGCAGAATTTTGAAAGTAATGGAGAGCTTTATTCAACACACTTAACTACATGTTCAAAACGTGACTGTTTGTTACGGTAGCGGAGTGCTCGGTCTGCAACTAACCGAGCCTAGGCAATTATTTTTTGTTGATCGACTTCACCACAGGATTTTAACGGCGACGACCAATTACCAGCACAGTCAGACTCGCTGAAGGCGTAAATTCCGCAGATCTAGACTGACTTCCGCTCCAGCTCAGGCTCCAAGACGAAGGGCGCAAATCTTCATTAAGGTCAGTTCCAAACGGAGTAACGGTGAACCCCGCCTTGGAGACGAACTAATATTGAGCAGCTTGATGTCCGTGAGAAGATCTCAATGCGCGGGTTCAGAAGATGAAATACCGCTGGTCGAGACTGTTTGAAGGGCGAGCTTAGCGATGGGCCGTTGAAGAGTATAGCTAGACATCTTGATGGACCCACCCTGGTGGGTTCATCTCGGCCATGATAGAAATAGGTAATTCTAGCAAGAGACCTCTTCATTGGTGGAAATCTGTCGTCGGTGAAGTGGACTATGGAGCTGATCTTAATGTCGTGGTACCACTGAGAGATGGACTGGAGATACTGAAGGTAGCTAGTCGACTAGCGATTGCAGACGATCTAAACTTTATTCTGGATGAGCTGCCAATGAGTTAATCGAGTGATGTTCAAGTGATCTAGTTAAGATTCAGTCAGAGCTGTTAGCGCATGTCTAATCAGGAACTCTCCTGGACTGCCCGCTGAGACGTCATGAGAGGCTTCCCAAATAGGCTCAGGTGGTCGAGAATCGAGCACAGCTGCGATCTAAGCAAGCAGAGTGGTTAGTTTCTCAAATGTGAGCAGGTCTTCTCCAATCGTCCGTTTGAGATGGAACGTAACCGACTTAACTGAACTGCTGCTTTCAACTTTTCAGCAAAGTGAGGAGCGCCTAGTCGGTTGAAAGACTACTTTATGCCGTCATTGATCGAGAGATGAGCAATCTGTTCCGATTCCGTAGGAACTTTCGGGTAGGAGCTACAAGAAATGATGACTAGAGGCGCGAGAAATCCGAGAGGGCTGTAGAACTGAGCAATTTTCACGAGAACTATTCGTTTTGAGACGGAGGAATTCTGCAATACGTTAGTTGAGAAGACAAAATTATCTGAATTGGGTTGCCAAGACAGTCTGAGTATACGACTATCTGAGTCCTTATATGTACGCTGGTCATTGGAGACGCTGTCAGGATCGAGCCATTTATGAGGAGCTGCGCTATTACTGCCCCATTTTGCGAGAAGCATTCCTCCGGTAGCTTGGCTCATCCTCAGCTAGCCGGAGAAGAACACAGTTTGCGCGGAATGGAGCTAATCTAGTCCCATACATGACGGTGGTCAATTGATATGTTGATATGGTCTATAAAATCTGCTGCAGAAGCCAGTTATCTTCATTAACTTTAATCTGAAGGAACATCTTTATGATGTCCGTCATAAAGATAACTTTGTGCTGTCTAGTCCAGAGAAGAAGATCCAATATATCGCGCTGCATCTTGGCCCCTGTATGGAGAATATCGTTGAGCGATTTCCCTGAGCTGTTCTGCGCTGATCCATTGAAAACAACTCTCAATTTCGTGGTCTCGCTGCTCTCCCTGACTACACCATGATCAGGAAGGTGGTAACTTCTGTGAATGCCAGATGGTCCAACTTGAACCGCCTCAGAGACCCTCAACCCTCCTGAAGCCTGAGCTTCATGTGCTCATAGGGTCATCCCGTCAGAACGACAAGCTGAACCGAAGACGAAGAACTGGAAGGAGAAGAAACGACCAACCTCATATGATCGAGATCAACATATTCCTTGAAAAAGTCAGAGTAAAGCTGAAAACATCGCTGATCTTTCGAAATCCTAACGATCATCCAATGTAGACAACCTACAGCTGGGCGATACGAATTTCCTGACGGCGAAACTGGAGAGGAGAGGGGCAATCGGACAATGTAACGACCTGAGCTGTCTCTAGAGTGAGTCTGACGAAAGTGTTATTCACAGCTAAACTCGTCAGTTGACAGGTTTGAATGAACTCGTCCAGGAACTTCCTCCGAACCCAAAATTTAGGAAAAAGATCTTCGAGCTGATCATTGGAGATCTTCTCAACGCCAAACACATCTGGCTACGTGACGTGACTCAACTCCTCTTGGTAGAAGTCACCTTCGATTGCATCATCTTTCCCATCATCTTTCCCGCAACTAAATCATCAATGGTACCAATCAATTTGTAGATTCCACGAATTGAGAACTCGTCCCACATTTTATTTTTCAATCTTCTATTAAAGCGTTCGGATATCGATGCATTGACGTTGCTGAAGATCGAGTACATGTGTATGTTACGCTCTTCGATAAGACCTAGAAAATTTTTATTGTAAAACGATTTGCTTTGATCCACATGGAGTTTTTTGGAATACGCCCCACTTGTAAGATGAGACGCATGGCATCATTGGCACTTTTTGATTCAACACGAATGGCCCATGCATGCTTGGAGAAAATGTCGATTACTGTTAGAAGATATCGGCCTCTCCTCGCTCAGTGAAATTTGCCTGCACTGTTGGCCGCCTCGACTAGGCAGTGAGACAAGACCGGTATCAGTACGTGTACTGAGTCAGATCCGTCGGATTTCATGATTAGTACGCGCACGAATCCCGAATCAGGTGATCTGTTGTTGACAGTTTTGACTTTCGGCCGGCGACGAATCTAAACAAGTCAGATCGAGTTGGTACAGGCATAAGTAGTGTGGGGATATACTGGCATAGCAAAGGAGTCCTTGAATAAATGCGTGCTGCTTAAGATGGGGGTGATCAAAAACTCAACTAAGCGATTGAATGAATTCAGTAAACCAAGTGATAAACAAAAAAAGAAATCGGTAAAAAGCAAAGACGGCAAGCTCCGTAAACCAGTAATCTCAGATCCAGTATTCTCAAAAAAACTAAATGTCAGTAACGATAATGAAGCACCGTGACCCTACAACAAAAGTTGGTAGGGGAAGATAGAATGAGCAGGTAATAGAATATATAAATGTTTTGGCGTTTGAAGCCGGTATATTAATGGTATTTA